CCCCCTACTCCATTGTTAAACCCCTACCCAAGGTCAAATTGTACTCAAGTTTTCACCCTATCCTCATTCATATTTATCATATGTGACCTTTTCATATTTCAAGGTCAAAGTGTACCCAATAGGCTCCCCCCCACTACTTCCATTAAACAAGCTGAAGTGCTGAAGTAAAATATTCTTGTGCTGTATCTTTCTACTTGTTGCCCAAATGTCAGGGCAATCATTCTTCAGCAATCGTCTTTTAAAAATTGCTAATTTATCACTGACCCAGTTACATGCAAATAAGCTAATACATGTATTTAGTTGAGCACTTCTGAAAACCTCAGATGCTGGTAGTGGTCATGCCTGTACGATTAAAGTGGTCTGGAAAGTATTATTCAAGCAAGGGGACATTGTACACCTGTCAGTCCAGTGCAAGTGTTTGGCCTACTCTGACATTGGAAGCAAAGTCAGAAAAATTGAACATTTGAGTATAATGCAGTTGGGATAAAGCATATTTGTATGATCACATATCATTAGGGGCTACTCAGTGTTGCTGTGCATCTCTTAGCATTGATTTGAAAGCTGGGCTGATGTGTACAGAGGTTGAGCCAGCCTCACAAGCAAAGAAGTTGACAGGAATTCCAGCAAAACTCATGTAGAAGGGCATAGTATCACCGTCTTAGACGTACATGTGGTGCTAACTATTCATGTAGCCCGCTCCAAATGCCCATCATTGGAAATCAAAACTTTGCTTCTGTGTGCTGCTAAAATAAATCTTTGTGAAGCAGACTTCTGAGCAAATTGACCCCTGTATTCTTTGTGCAGTGAGGTTGGATTTTTCTGGAAAACTGAAAATGTGAGACAAAGATGAAACTCCATGAATAAGAATTGCATCCACCTTGCTAGATAAACTGTCTTTTCCTCAACACAATCAGGTGCAGTTGTTGAAAAAGAGTCCTTAATGCAAAGCAAAACAAACATACACAAGACCAATGAAAATCCTTAATGTCTCCTCCCCTTTACTGTATTTTTCCTCTATAATTTGTTTGATTGATTGGGATGCTGGAGATAGTGATGGAGTCGATTGTGACGTAGCATTTTATATTGTTGTCTACCAGTTGATATGTTTTCACAAGACATGCTAAAATCATCACTCAAGCATCATGCTAACCTGTCTCTCAAAAGTTGAAACTAGGATCCCTATGCAAAAAATGAGTACATTTATCACCATCCAACAAGCAAAACCACTATTTAGATACCATCACTATTACATCACTATTTATTAGGATCTGGTTGTGCAGATCAACTAGAATACAGATCCTGGGAATCCAAATATTAAAATTCAAATGTGGGAATGCAAATGGAGATCTGATATAGTAGTTTGAGTATCCACTCTGACTAGAAGTACCCCCTCCCCTCACTTGCAAAGTTTAGACAGGAAATTTTTCATATGCAAAGAGTATACATGAACATTTCAACAGAAATTGTTTGTTCATGCTCAGCACCTCCCTTGCTAAACATGCATGAAGCCACGCACACATGCTCTTTTTTTCCCACGTAAGGGATATTGTTGCTATGTAAAATACAATCTCTCATTTCTACAGTGAACAAATTGTGAAAAGTATAAGAAAATGTATGTTACCTTGTCACTGTTTGAAGAGACTGCTTGGTCAGAAGTACAAGTGATTTTATTGCCAGCAGAATATAGTATGAAAACTGTATGGTTGTTGTTTTTCTTGATATTTGCAGAAGTTACGTATACCAACTACTTAAAGCAATTCACTGGTGCCATCAAAATGACATCATCCACAGAGGTATCAGATTCCTGTTAAGTGTCCAATTATATAGTTTTCCTGTCTATTCATTTATTATGTACAGAGCTTGAGGCTCATCATACAGTTTTCTGTAAAAACATATTATCAAGTTTTAATCATTTGTATCGATTTTATCTGCTTCAAGTATTTGTATGTAGTTAATAAGCTACCGGTAACATAATATTAATTACATGCCAAACTGTTATTGAATGTATGCCTTTTCTTTAACCAAAAATAGCAGTGGTAACATGCATGCCACATTTAAAAAAACAATCTGGGAAAGGGTGGATTCTACCCCTCTTCCCTCCGCTGTGGAATGCCCCGGAAAAGGGCTCTTTAGGGTCCAACAAATACTTCCACAACCTACTGTACCAACAAGCCATTGGACTGTTGCACATGATTAACTCGGTCAAGCTTCAGGCCTACTTCAGGCAGTTTTATTGTAACAATCTTGTTACAAAGCCATGTCAGACGCATGACTGTGAACAGATTTTAGAAATTAGCTAAAGGAAATCACAGACATTGTTACCCTATTTTCATACCGGTATGTTCTAAGCGGGAATTTTAGTGCTCTGTAAAAAAGCCTTTACAAACATGATTTTTGCTGTGCGCATGATATTCAGTGGAAAATTCCCGCTTAGATTAGGAACTAACAGCAAAAATGATTTAATGGGATTTCCTGAAGAAAAATAAAGAACAAAACCAGAAAACCTAAGAGAAAATGATCAAAATCACACCCCTGTTAATTTTCAATGGCCCTTGCTGCTGAGGCCATTTGTGCACATGCATGCATAATTACAAATTAGTTAGTGAAAAGGTCTATTGTCTTTGTCTAAGCCTGATTGTTGATAATTGTACATTATGTCAGTATCACACTTTGTATCACATTTGTACACTTTCAATATTATCTTCAAAATGGAATTGAAACTGATTTGTTTGATGCATAACAAAAATGACCTGGGATTGTACACCCTTTTGTTCCTTTTTTTTCACCTTTACTTCAAACTTGATAGGCCAAGTTAACATAGTGTATGATTGTTCTGTTTTGTTCCAGACGTTAAGCCAGAAAATCTTCTAGTTAGTGAAGAAGGTATCTTGAAACTTTGTGACTTTGGTAAGTGGGACTTTGGGACTCTGAAATAAAAACTGTTTTGATTAAGGCACTTATGGCTTTTATGTTCAACTGACTTGTTGAAACATTGTATGCTGTGTAGCCCCACAAATTTAGGTTAAATGGTATAGCATACACCATTTGTCAGATCCCCAAAATGTAACAGCCTCAGATAATCTTTTGAAATCTATTCGCCCAGAACGCTTTAATTTGAATTTTTTTTTACTCTTTTCCAATTATCATCAATGATTTTATCTGTTCAAATAAATTGGAAGCATCCAAATCAAATGCAGTGTCATTTGCCTTCGTAGTTCAACCTTAACAAGCTTAAAAGGGCCTTTTTCTGTTCATGCCAAGATGTGAATTCTGAATGTAGATTGTGTCACTCAGAGAAAACAGAGCCTAATGAGGGGACCCTCACCCTGTGTTCGTAGTGGATAAACCTATATCACGCAATGCATGTGTCCTATGGCAGAAGCAAGCTACATGTAGCAGCTTCATGCATTTCTCACAGATGCATGTGTCCTATGGCAGCTGCAGCTAGCAGTTTGATGCATTTTGAAATTCAACAGATGTGATTTTTAGCAGTCTTATTTTCATTTTGTGGGAGCAGATATTTATCTGATTAACCCTGTAGTCAGTACGCTCAATCTCATATAACCCTTCCGCCAATGGACTTCATTTTATTGACACACAGGATTCGCTCGCAACTTGAGTAATAATGGCACAGCTAATTATACTGACTATGTAGCCACTCGATGGTATCGCTCACCAGAGCTGCTCCTTGGGTATGTATGGTCTGTTCTCAGTATGCACTGATATTCACAACACAATGCAGTACAATGTATGTAAAATATTTGTGATTAATCCTGACGCTAGTCATCTTCATGCAGAAATATGCAGTATGCTGTGCATACAACATGCATGTAAAATTATTAATCATGCTTTTGTCATCATAAACTTTTATTCCTGTAGTGTCCAATACCACCAGAGTTACTAATTACTACATGTACACTGTTTAAAATGCCTTTAAATATCAGCATCACATTTAGAGGCAAGGATAAAAATGACAAAGAATTCACACTCACTTTACCTGAAAATTAGCCTCACGTTGTAGTTTATTCAGCCTAAGACAAATGGTTGCCAACCAAATGCTTACCTACTACAATTGTGCCTTATTGTTGGAACAGTGTGTTGTCACTTTGACGTTTTCATCACACCCTGTGCATATAATACATGTGTAAGGGTATCTCAGATTCAATTCTTTATAATTGGAATTTCAGTTTTAAAAGTTTGATTGAGCAATAGTGCCAATAGACAACATGTGGCATCAGTGAAGCCTGAATGAATTTAGCCAGGCAGACTCTATTGTCACATAACTGTCTAATACACCAACAAATGCACAACAAAAGCTAAATTCATAAAATTTACATATGCTGTGAAATTTCCAATTATGTAAGGGTCTTACCTGCCACATAATTGGAATTATATGAGGCCAAGGAGGAGAGACTCACCGTGTATTATTGCCCCCATAATATAGTTTGCACCACCCTTTGAAGAAACGGTATATTCCTTCATTCATAAAAATGCAAATTAAGCCCATCCCTAAGGGTATAAAGCCCCCAGGAACCACTGAAGTATGTATTTGTCCTGTCTGAGGACATTGTGGGCCGGATGCTGAAGAAAAGTGAGGGACTGAAGGAGGTACGTATGTTTCACTGCCATAGGCCGTGTAGAGAATTGAGTGCAGCAGCCTTCAGTGTGCTGGCAGCTTGCAAATTATACTAGCAGACAACGAAGGCAATATTTTCTTGTGTCGAAGGTCCTATAACAAATTGTTTGCCACTTAATAAATAACAAAGCCACCGCAAGGGGTACAATTCAGCAAGTGTGCGAAACAATCATGACAGATGTTTTCTATCTGAAAAGAAAATATTTGAAATGAGCAAATTAAAAGAAAAATGACTTTTCACGAAAGAAAACTAATCAAAATGATGTGCAAAGTTTGTTGAACAATGCAACATTTGAAACTCCTTTTTGAAATACTTCTCCAGTTTTCCCAAAGAAAATTGCCATACTGCCTGAAGGACCAATACTTGCTGGCATCGTTATGGGTATTTTGCAGCTTTCAAGAAGTCTGACATTTGAAGAAATCATAATTTTCCAGACCCCCCCATAAGCAGTGTTTACGCAAAACATGCTACCAGTTGGTACTTCTAAGACACTAGCCACGTTGTGCTGGTACAGGGTAACTGACCGATTTCCAGGGATTGCACAGACGAAACCTAGGGCCACAGGTTGGCAAATTACATCTACCCTGTCAAGGCAGAGTGCCAGCACATGTATTTTGTATAGCGAGCAACCCGCGGAATGTTCTGAGTCCAGACACCGACAGTCGACGATACAATGTCCAGTGTAAGAAGGACGTGTTACCATTCCTTGGTGTATAGGTGTTCAAGCGTGGCCCGAATCGACATTACCCAACAGGGTTGCCAAATCTGTGTTGTAAACTTTAAAATCATGCAGATAAATACTATTACCTCCACAATGCTTTCATTTTCGTGAAATTGGTCCGAGATTTTGTAAAAAAAAAAGTCTCATCCGGAAATTGGCACAAATTCAGTTTGGTGCACGTGAATAAATCTTAGAAAATTCCACATTAACATGGACATTTCTCTGAAATTGATAATGATAAGTCATTATAGTACCTAAACCAACAGTACTCAAATCAAGCTTGATTTTATAGTTTTGAGGGCATGTTAAGAGAGTTATTGTGCCCTTTCAAAATCGACCAATACAGAACTTCATTAGTCATTTTAAGCCGGTAAATTAAATAAAGATTTCTTTCAGTGCTCCAGAGGTAAAAATAATGTGATACGAACATAGGGAGATGCCATGTCTGTTAATCTCAAATTAGGGTTCAATATATATATATAGTGACATTTTTTCTGTGTACCTGTTACACCCGCCCAGTGTCATAGATATAGTCTTCAAAAAATACATATATTTACTTGGTATAGGTTATTTGTATTCTTTAATTACTCTTGGAAATTGAAGGATGTTTTTTAAAGTAACAAAATCATGTCAGATTAGACAGGAAAAAAAATGAATCCCTTAATGAATAGAAATACCCATGTACATCCAAAAACACAGTAAGTGAGCTGATATTTCTTCCACACAGCATGTCTGAAGTGAAGTAAAGAGACCCAAATGCTTGACAAGCTCTCCATCTTGATATTGACATTCTTGGAGTGCTCCTTGTTCCTCCCAAAGTGACCCATGGCATTAGCACAAAATACAATTCAGACAGTCATGCCAAAAGAAAACTCCCCCAGGCCAAATGATGGAATAACTGCAAAGCTCAAAACTGAACAGGTGGCCTGGTGAAATATATATTTTTTAATCAGCACAGGTAGACGTATTGGTTTACATATTCCTTGAAAATGGTTTCTAAATATCAGTGAGTATATTCATTAGCTTCTAATGTATTTTCTATTTCATCTTTAATGATTTTCTTTTTCTGTGAGGGCTTTGTGGTAATTCCATTCATGAGACTACATAGATGTATATAAAATTCAGAGGTAGTTTTTTTTTTCATTGAAATCATGATGTATCTATGCTCTCTTTCACAGCAGATTTGCAGAAGACATTGCTGTAATGTGGTGTCAAGGATATATTTCTCATTAAGACAATTAAAAACAGAGTAGTATTTATAGAAAGTCATTGTCACTTTTACTTTAACATGAAATTACATGAGAGAAAATGCTTTAAGAAAAATCAATTGAGAAAAGAAATATGAAAAAATTCATGTTGTCATTGATACTCATATTTTCAACCTACATATTCCAAATGGTAAAATTACCTTTGCACTGTAAAAATGTTGGTACTGAATATTTGCGGTGCTGCCTGTTTGTGCTCGCTCGCTATGTCGGGGCTTGATTCAACTCTGACCAATTTGGGATATTAATACGAAAGTGAATGGTCAGCCAGCATGCCCAGAATCTAAAAGCATGGCAAGTAGGGAGTGACCGTGCCCCGTTTTTTTCTACAAGCTACCGCAGTTCTGGTACGTGCCCATATTTGCTTTGTTGGTGGAAGCATTCAACTTTGATCACTCAACTCAGGATAAGGTTAGTCAGTAATAAACATGACAAGGATTTAAGGCTGTGTAAGCCCAATGTGGCGCTGTGGCGGCCAGTGTGGCCTGATGTTTATTTCACAAGTAACTGGAATTCTAATGTACAATCACCCCTTCTAGACTAGGTATGCCAAACTCTGCTTAATTAGCTTGGTGAATGGTGGGCAAGGCAATGTGCGAATGATTTGACCCTCTGTAGGTTATTATCACATTACCGAAAGTGGACTGGCTAATGTTAATAATAATAATAAAACGGAGTTAGCACATGCCCTTTGTTGATTTAACCTAAGAGTGATTAACAAAAAATACCAAGCTGGATAACAGGTGACAACAGGTTCTTTTATGCAATTGGGATAAATTAAGGTGGTTGCTGAACTTGCATGTATTGTTCCATGTCGATCAAGTGTCCCACATGGATGCCATGGCCAAATTGAAGTTGCTCTTTGCATGTTGTTGCGCCTTGGGCATGTTGCAGATTTAGGGCCACCGGTTTTGTTCTGATTTTCGATCCAGACTCCTCATGAATCATTGATTGGTTGATTGATACTGGTTTAATTCTTCACAAGATAACAGTTCTAACTATTCCACAGACTGTACTGATTGGTGTACACATGAAGAGGAATGGCAACTCCACTGATGATAATTCAGAGCCACTATATTTATCTTATCCCATTAAGTTGCATGGATCTCACAAACATCCCAACAAACTATAATGCTATTTGTGTAGTAACCTTTCAATAAGTTAATCATTGACGGCACGGGTGGCGGTGTCTGTTTGTACCGCGGAGGGTGCAATAAATTTGAATGCCTAGGAATGCATCATGAAATGGATGGTCAGTTGAGTAGTACATTATTCTCGGACAACACTCAAAACAGTCTTGCAATGGAGATGTAGGTTTGACTTTTTGCATAGGTTTCCTTACCGCTGTTTTATTTCCTCTGTATTCATTATGCTTATACCAGAACTTCGGCAGCTTGCCAAAATGGGCACATCTTTCCAGATCAAGAGCATAGGGCATTGTCACAAGTCCTCCTAAAAGGCCTTGGAAATGGTACCCTTGAACCAAAACTGTGAAATGAACGACTCAGAGAAAATATAGGACCAAACATGATGAAATGTAGTTCAACACATTTAATATATGAATCCCCCTTTAAATACCACTAATTACACAGTTCATCTTAAATACATTCAAAGCAAACCTCGAGGAGAACAGATCAAAATTAAAAGATACTGATGGGCACTTGTGGTCTTTGGTCCGGATCTCGGTTTGAGGCGGGTCCAGCTGTCGTCCCCGGGGTAAGGTATCATCCTGGCATGGCACATCAGTGGGGGAACGTCTACCCGTCAACCAAGACCCCAGTCCATGATAAAAAGCCCTCTTTGTAATACAAAATCAATTTCGATTAAATACAGTTTACTACTTTAAAACGATTTCTGACCAATCACTTTCACTACATTTCCAAGTTTCAGATTATCGACTGAATAATTTACCACAGTGTTTATTTAATAAAGATCTTCTAAAACATTACGACGTTGTGTTCGCTTTTAATCAAACAATTGCTTGAACATACTTTATTTCATCATGGTCTTGTGAACTACAACGTTCTTTCCAATAATAGATTAACATCACTTCAGAGAATTTTGTTGCA